CAGCCACTGCACTCCAGCCTGGGCGACTGAGTGAGACTCCAACTCAAAAAAAAAAAAGAATACTCCAGTTACATATACGATGAACTTATTTGCTGTATCCTCTTTTGTCTCTCTATGCTTCTGAATGGTTTCTTCTAACCTACCTTGCAATTCAGTAATTCTTCAACTGTCTAATCTTCTGCCAAGCCCATCCAATTTTTATTTGACCCCTTTAAAATCAACTAAGTGGTTTTGTTCATTACAATTTCCAGTTTTCTGCTTAAATTTTCAATTCTTTTTTTTAATTTCCTGAGACATAGTAAGCATGGTTATCTTTAAAGACTGTGTCTGTTAGGGCCAGTGTCTGGACCCCCTGTGGAAATTTTATATTGTCTGTTAAGAAGAATTAATATGCACAGAATAAACGCATAAAAATATGCAGAGCGAAAAAAGTATAAGAGGAGGTGGCAAACACACCACTGAGACGGGAGACTTGACCTATCTGCTTTTAACATATCAGGTAAAGAAGGTTCCTTTTTTTCAGGTTGACCAATCCGTCTGGTTGGTCTAGAACTTTCCCGGGTTCACTGTGGAAAGTCCCGTGTTCCGGAAAACCCATCAGTCCTGGGAAAATCTGGACAGTTAGTCAACCTATTGTGATACACACAGACACAGCCCCCGCCCCGCCCCGCCCGCTGCACCAGGGCGGCCGCCGGGGGCGCTGTGGTGCGCAAGCGCGACTTGGGAGGCGCTCTGGCCTTGGCGCGTCGCTGCTTCTTCCGCCTTCCCGGCAGCCTCCGCGCTGCGGCTGCGCACTCGATGACCTTTCCGAGTTGTTGGCTGTAGGGTCGGCTACGGCCTGAGCCGTGGGTCCCGCGCCGAGGTGAGTGCGGAAACCTGGGTCCGGCTCCTCTGCTCAGGGCATCCCGGATCGTAGAGGGGACAAGACGGGGGCCGTGGGGTTCAGGCCTGGCCTCCACAGCGGGAACCGGCGGCGGCCCGGGGAGGCTCCTTGGCTCCCGCTGACCTTGGGGTCCAAGCCCTCCGGCGCACACGCCCGCTTCGCTGCTCGAGTCCCAGACTGTAAAGGGGGTTCGTGGGGATGGGCTACTAGTGGGAGGTGTTGCTTAGGCTTGCGTTACGCTTTCCTCCTTGGCGTTAACGCGCTTGATGCACCTGGATTCTGGAGCGCTTTGACAAGGAGCGCAAGATCCCCAGTAAAGGAAGGCTTAACGGTCATTGTCAGGCAGAAGGAACGTGAGCTCAGATGTGTCGGCCTAATGTAACCAAAAGGTGCAGGGTCCAGTTAAAAGTTTATTCAAGCGAGAAGTGTGTGTGCAGACGACCGTCTGGGGATACAGGGACACTAATGAATAGTAATCAGTGCTCTCGGTGTAGGGGAAAGTGAGGATCTATGTTTATACGGGCAGAAACGGAGGTGCTGAACAAATTACATTTTCCGTACAAAGTGCCTTAAGAGACTCAGCTTCCTGACCAAGAGGCCACACAACGAATTAGCGATGAAGCCAGAAATTCTCACCCCACATCTCGTAGTGCGCTCTCTCTCCTACCTCAGGCTTCCTTGCGACACACTTGTCCTCCAAATTTTGCTGTGTGTATGACAGGGCCCTGGGAGGAGGGAAAGGGGGAACTAAAACATGCTTAAATGGTGATGATCAAAATTGTATGGAACTCAGACTGTAAACCCCACAATGGGGTTCAAAGGACCAGACATTTGCTATTCCCAGTTCAGGTAATAGTATGCAGTTAATGTTTTTGTGCCAGAACTTTACAGACTCAAATGGATACAGTAGACACCCTTTTGAATAGGATAGACCTTTAAAGGATCCAGTGCTGAAAAACTGATACTGCTAGGGAATGTGGCTGAGTAAAATGGACTCAGGTGGAAAAAAAAAAGAGGCCCTCACCCTCATTTTATTAAATATTGAGAACACATCACTTGTCCAGCCAAGTATGGCAACTTTAGTCAAAGTAACCTCAAGAGAAAAGGAGGGGAGATGTTAGATATTTGCAATATGCCGTGTAGCAGGACCTTACTTCACTGGGGACCGAAGGCAGTTCAGGGTTAGGAGACGCTATATCAAGGTACCTAGGCCCAGAGCACACTATCAAGAGAATTAGGTTTCCTTGGTCCCTTCTTAGTGCATTTGCACCCTCCAGTTTACTTTGCTCTTTTCCTTCTAGACCCTCATCTGACCTTACTCTTTCTAAAACCCCAGACCTGGCCTAAATGAGGGCATCTTTTTAAGTTCTCCTTTCTTAGAATCCCAGTGGCATGGTGTTATTGCCATCAGCTAGGTATTTGTAGCAGTTCTTTCTATTACTGCGGTGAATACTGAATTCTTACTCCATACCAGGCACTAGGCTGGTGTATCACTGTGGGAGTTCTATGCAAACCTGAGAAGCCGAAGAAAGAGGCAGGCATATCCAGTTTCTTAGAAAGAAACATTTAATAGGATTTAGTGAACAAAAGCCATGTCTGTCTCGGGTGGCGAGACAAGATGGTGGACCCTGCACCATCACCCCAGACCCAGGGCTTATATACCATAGGGAAAGGGACGTATAGAACAGTTGAAGTACAGTGACTTCAAGTTTGTTTGACCTAAGGGCAGTATTCATGATAAGTATGTAATCTTACACAAGGAACAGTAGATAAACTGGAAATCTCAGAGGCCTTCCCAGAACTAGGGTCAATCAGAAGCCAACATGGTGGATGAGCATCCAAGATGGAGTTGCTTGGGCCTCCACAGTTGGGTGCTTTATGTTTCCTCCTTCCCAGTTATTGCTGGTCTCAGGGAGGAGAGGAATTTTCTCCACAACTCTGAACTAGTCTGAGGCTTCCAGAGGCCTCCTCTGGGTCCCATTTTGATCCTTTGTGACATTTTCTCAAGACTGGGCTGTTGGTTTCTTGGAACCTCATGCTCTGTCAGAAGTACAGTCTGAAGACAGGAATTTGAGGAAAGACATATCTGCAAAGGGTTCCAGGAGAAGGACACAGTCCCATCCTTTAAGGATGTTCTTGAGGCTAGCCTTCAGGACACTTCCTCAGCCTGAATAACCCTGAATGGGGAGGAGAGGACATCAGACCTTGGAGGCTGACTCATGACCAGGAGCTTGGGGGGCTTAGAGCTTTGGTGTGAGTCTAGTCCTGCTATCCTGCTGTGGCACTGTGGGCAGCTTTGTTCAAGTATCCACTTCATTGGGGTAGGAAGTAGTGCAGGGAATGGTATATAAAGCACTTAGTAAGTGCTGTTAAATTGGGGAAACATCCTTAGAGGAAAAGCCAAACTCTACCATAGCCTTCAAGGCCCTAAATGACCTGACCCATCTTCTTTTCCAAGATTCAGCCATGGTATTTTACACAACAAGCATTTGTTATGTGATACCAGACACTAAACACTCTAGTCTTTATAGCTGCCCTTTGAGGTGGGTATTGTTTTATCCCTGATTTATAGATAAGGAAACTGAGGCAATTTAAGTTAGGTAGTAAGTGACAGAGCCAGGACTTGAATCTGGGCAATCACTGTGGCCTTTTTTCCATTCCTCCCAGCATTCCAAAATTATTCTGACCTTGGGGTCTTGGCAAATAGGCCTCTGCTGAGGATACTTCTCCCCCAGGTGTGGTCACTGTTACTGTTTCTCAGTTCCTAAAACAGCATCTGGCACCTAGTATATGCTTAGTTTACATTTGCTGACTGAATAAATGACCGCACAATCCAGATTTTGGTGACTTGAATAGGTCAGGCTTTTGAAGTACTCAGTGCTATAAAACCAACACACAGGGCCAGGAAATGTGGAAAACCAGAAAAGCCCAAGGAGTGATGTGAAAGGGGCAGGGAGCGGAGTCAGTGTTCCTGACCACAGCCAAAGCAGAGTATCCAGTGAAATGAGAAGGCCATTTTTTATTTTTTTTTTTGAGTTGGAGTCTCACTCTGTCACCCAGACTGGAGTGCAGTGGCACACTTCCGGCCACCGCAAGCTCGACCTGCTGGGCTCCGGCGATCCTTCCGCCTCAGCCTTCCAAGTAGCTGGAACTACAGGGGCGCGCTACCACGCCTGGCTAGTTTTTTTGATTTATTGTGGAGATGAGGTCTCGCCAAGTTGCCCAGGCGGGTCTCAAACCCATGGGCTCAGGCAATTCACTCACCTCAGCCTCCCAAAGCGCGGGATTACAGGCTGAGCCACCGAGCTCAGCTGAGAAGGCCATTTTTGACAACTGTTAAGTCAAGTCCCTCCTGACAACTATTTGAATAGCTGTAATTTAATGAACCACTCCAGATGTTACAAAACCTATTAAAATGAAAATGAGGGCATCTAATTTTGGGTCTGTAGTAAAGTAGATTGTAAAAGTAATGAAGGCCAGGCATGGTGACTCAAGCCTGTAATCCAAGCACTTTGGGAGGCTGAGGGGAGAGGATTGCCTGAGTTCACAGGTTCAAGACCAGCCTGGGCAACATGGTGAGATGTCATCACTACAATAAATAAATAAATAAATAAGAATTAGCTGGGCATAGTTGCGCATACCTGTAGTTCCGGCTATTTGGAAGGCTGAGACAGAAGGATTGCCGGAGTCCAGTGGGTCGATGCTGGGGTGACCGTGAGCATGCTACTGTACTCCAGCCTAGGCGACGGAGTGAGACTCCAACTCAAAAAAAAAAAAAAAAGGTAATGAAAAACGTTATTTTGAGACGTGGCACTTATAAAAGCAAACAGTTCAGAATGTAATGGCTTTTCCCAATTAAACCCAGTAATTAAATATTTTTATTCACTAAATAAGTTCTGTTTTAGGAAGTGACCTCGTCTTCCTGTACCATCTGCTTTGTATTTAGCAATAGACTTCAGGACTGAGATGTAGCTACTGAAAGTGTGTCCAAGCCCAGGCATTTATTTCACAAGGAAATCGCCATGCCCTAACTGTTTTTGTTCAGCTTTGAGTGCCAACACTCTTAACAAGAGGATGAGAACATACTAGTGTTTGCATTTAGATGTTAAGAGAAAGATGTGCAGTTTGAGGCATAGTAATTTTAGTGGATGTGAGGAATGAGGTGACCGAGTGCCAAAATGGCCAAAGGAGGGGCACAGGGACAGTCAGCTTGCAGAGCTTTGGAGAGCACAGAGCCCCCGTGTGCGAGTGGGGAAGGGGTCTCACACAGGTGAGACTGCCTGTTGAATACCTGTGGGAAGTAGTGTTGAACTTAATAATGAAAATCTCAGCCGGGCTTGGTGGCTCAGCCTATAATCCCGCGCTTTGGGAGGCTGAGGTAAGTGGATTGCCTGAGCCCACGGGTTCGAGACCCGCCTGGGCAATTTGGGCGAGACCTCATCTCTACAATAAACCAAAAAAACTAGCTGGGCGTGGTAGTGCGCGCCTGTAGTTCCAGCTACTTGGAAGGCCGAGGCGGAAGGATCGCTGGAGCCCAGCAGGTCGAGGCTGCGGTGGCCGGGAGCAGCCACTGCACTCCAGTCTGGGTGACAGAGTGAGACTCCAACTCAAAAATAATAATAATAATAATGAAAATCTCCTACCAGCTAGGTCTAGAACAATAGTCATCTTGATTTTTATCACTGTGTTCACTTCCAGATGCTTCAGAGCATTATTAAAAATGTTTGGATCCCTATGAAGCCCTACTATACAGAAGTTTACCAGGAGATTTGGATGGGAATGGGGTTGATGAGCTTCATCGTGTATAAGATCAGGAGTGCTGGTAAGTGTCTGTGTTTCGTGCATTTGAGATCAGGAAGACAATTATTTTCAGAAAGAATCACAATTTACGTTGTAAAGGTAAATTTCTTAATAAGGTGTAAACGTCAGGAATCACCTGCAGTCCTTTGTGAAAATACAGGAAGCACCTGTCAGCTATAGAAGACATTTGGGGATAGTTGGGGACATTTGAGCAAGACTGACATCAGGGAATTGTGAATTTTTTTAGGTGAGGTTGATATTACAAATAGGAAGTGTCCTTCATTTGAAGAGATGAAGGCTGAAATATTTAGAGATATAGTGTCATGGTGTGTGGTATTTTATTTGTACCTTTTCAACTTCTGAAAAAAAATGATAATAATAAACCAGGTGTGGTGGCTCATGCCTGTAATTCCAGCACTCTGAGAGGCCAAGGCAGGTGGATTGCTTGAGCCCAGGAGTTCTATCCAGCCTGGACAACGTAGCAAGACCTTGTCTCTACAAAAAACAAAATTATGAATTTTTTTCATAGTATAATTTAGAGAGAATAACCATTTGGCTCTCAGTAGAGCAGGAAGATAAGGCCTAGTCATGTGTTACTAAACCACTGACTAAAAGGAGGAAGGAAAGAGGAAAACTTTAAACTGCAAGGCTAGAGTTTAGGATATGTAGGGAGTGAAGAGCCCTGCAAATTCCAAAGAACTCTTAGCTGTTCATAGAACACCTTCGGTAGAAGTTTTACCACTCCTGAATATGAGACACTATGGTAACTTTCATATTTTCTGAAAACTTCCTATATGTAATTGCTTTACCTAAGCTGTGAAGCCTTTGACCAAATGTTAATTTTGACAGAAGCATTTTTGTAAAGCATTGATGTGACCAACTTTTTCCTTCCTTTTGTTTTAGATAAAAGAAGTAAAGCTTTGAAAGGTGAGATTTTTCAAAGTGGTTGGGGAATGAAAAGCACCATCCTGTCATTTCAGGACAAGGTGTATCATTGTTCTGAGTTTAAATTGACATATAGTTCACTAGATATATATGATGCAATGGAAATGCTTCAGAACATGAAGGCTGCTTTGCCTGCTGGAAAGAGAGTTCTGAATGTCTGCTTTTTGTACTCTAATGTTAAAGCCATTGCTACCCACCTTGAGTCAAGTAAAACAGCCAGGAGTCATAGAAAAATGGGTTAATCAAAGGTAGCTGATGCCACCAATAAGAAAGCACAAAGTCATCTGTGCAAGCATGATGCCCTGTGCAATTCCCTCTGGCATGTTTTGAAAGGAAGTACCTTATAAATGTATACCCTAGTGCTGGACATTTCTTCACTTTGTTTCCCCAATGACAATGAAAGTGTAGTCGTTTGAGACTTACACAAGCCCAGGACTGACTTCATGAGCTATGAGGAAGAGGCATTTCCTTGCCACCTCACCTCTGCCCCGTGGTGAGCTGCTGCCTGTGTGCCACCGTTGCACGAGCCCTTAGACACACTGGATGCTCCTTGTGGAAATAGTCTTCCACTCTTTCTTACAGTATTGAAGATTGCCACTTACTCTTTTTGACTTGTTGATACTTGCCTAATAAACTACATTCTACTTGTTCCTTCCTTCCTAAATTGTATCTTCTATTACATATCTCTTTCAAAAGCTCCTGCGCCTGCTCATGGTCATCACTAACCAGCTTTCCGTGGAGTACACATGAGATGAAACACCAGTCCACCTGTAAATCCGAGCAAGCTGTGTTAGATGGGAATGTGGAACATCACTGTACACTTGTCTAAGTACCATTAACCTTGTGGCATGAATAAATATGTTTGTGAGATGCACCACTACCTGGTACTACTTCTGGCGTGTTCCCCTGGCTCCTTCCTGTGTGTCAGGTGTGCTCTTAGTAGCTGATCTGAAGTGCAGCAGGTGTGATCAAAATCTCACTGATACTGATACTGTTCAATAAATATTAAATATGATTTGACTACTTATTTTGTGAGCTCTCAGCTTCTGTTTTCTTGTTTGTAAGGTGGAGATGTTATATAAGTTCTAATTTCATGTTTTATGAGGATTAATAGGAAAAGGGATGGGAAAGCATTATTTAAACCATAAAATACTTTAGAAATAAGGTAGCCTTAAACCACAGAGTAGTGAAGTTACAAGCTCTAAGGGAAATTTTTTATGAGGAAACATTTATAAGGCAAAGTACATAATATAAAAGAACTGATTGATATTTCTTCTAGTTGGGCTAATTCACATGAATACTGTATAATATTTACCTCCATCTAACGCAATTACCAAAACTCCTAGAATTGCCATACTAAAAAGATTCTAAAGTAGTAGGTGTGAGGCCAGAAGTGAGTCCAGTTTGAGCTCTGGCATTATGCACTGTGGTGGAAGTCCAGCCTTGGAGAGAAGTGATGGTCCATCCTGCGTGGCCTTTCTCCTTAAGGGCACAGACCTCCCTGGGGCTCCAACATTTAGCATCAGGTCCAGCTCAAGGTAGGTGCCTGATAACTGACAGCCACTTACTGTGGGGATCTCCCTGAGCTTGGTTCTTTTGTCCTGCCTTGTCTACCTAACTGGCAGCCTCAGGGCTTGGGGTGCAATGAGAGGTCTGCATGTTTCCCCTGGTACACCCTAGGCCCTGGCCCGTGTAGCGCATCTTGGTGCATGCAGTCCTCAGGAGCAAATGAGGCATCAGTCCCCAGTTTACAGAAGAGGAAACAGGCTAAGAGGCAGTAACAGGCCCAAGGGTTGCTGTGACTAGTGCCAGACTGGAATGTGGACTTGGAGTGCAAACTTCCCAGAGAGGAAGATGAGGACAGGAGGCACAAGCTCCTGTAGCAGATAGAAGGGTTGGTGTGTCCCCCCAGGAGCACATCTCCACGAGGGCTGGGCCGTTCTGTTCTCCCTCCACTACATAAGGGTTCCTTCAGCTAAAATCATTCCTAGACGAGAGGATTGCCTGAACTCGGGTTCAAGGCCAGCCTGAGCAACATGCCAAGACCTCGTCTCTACAATAAATTAAAAAATTAGCTGGGCGTGGTGGTGCATGCCTGTGCTTCCAACTACTTGGAAGGCTGAAGCGGAAGGACCACATGAGCCCCGCAGGTTGAGGCTGCAGTAGCCGTGAGCATTCTACTGCACTCCAGCCTAGGTGACAGAAAAAAATAAATAAATAAAATCATTAATGTGCCCAAGATGCTTATCACCCACTATGGGCCAGCACCTGTGCCATGTCTTGAATTGTATTTGCCATCCCAGAGCCCACAGGCACATTTCAAATTCTCAAGGTTTTAGAAGCAACCAGGTCTTGCCCTCAAAGTGCCTGTAGGTGGAGCCAGAGCAGCCACCAGCGAGTTGTCACTGCTACCTTCCCTGTGGGCAGGGAGCACGGGTGCGGTGGGATGGGAGCATGTTTGAAGGAGCATTTGGAGAGTGATACCTGTGAATGAATGGCATGTACAGGGAGATATGGGGACAGGGGAGGACAGTCAGTTTGAGGAAGGAATCCCAGGGAGGCCTTTTGTCCTAAGCACACAGTACACATCCATTCAGTTCTTCATGCAGCATTTTTCTTTCTCCTTTTTTTTTTTTTTTGAGTTGGAGTCTCACTCTGTCACCCAGACTGGAGTGCAGTGGCCGCTCCCGGCCACCAGCCTCGACCTGCTGGGCTCCTGCGATCCTTCGTGTGCTACCATGCCTGGCTAATTTTTTTGATTTATTGTAGAGATGAGGTCTCGCCAAGTTGCCCAGCCGGGTCTCGAACCCACGGGCTCAGGCAATCCACTCACCTCAGCCTCCCAAAGTGCAGGATTACAGGCTGAGCCACCGAGCCAGGCTAGCATTTTTCAAAGTATCCTGCAGAGGAACCCTGAGGATGGGGGAGAATGGCACATGGGTCCCAGGCATCTGGAGATGCAGTTTTAGCAATGCGCTTTAACTGAGCCCCAAGTGAGCCTCTGGGAGGAAGTACCATGTTTCTTGCCTGTCGCTGTATATCCCAGGGACCCGCGCACCCCAGTCAGAGACCTTGGAGGATGTGATTCCTGCCGCCCTCAGTGAGGTGGTGTCTGGAGAGCTCTCAAATATTGAGTACTGAAGGGCCCAGCTGCAGTCTCACTGCTTTGCATTTAACTCATGTACACAACACCATGGGAGCTACTACTATTACCCCATTTCACAGGTGAAGAGGTAGAGGCCCAGACAGATTAGTTAGCTTACATTAGAGGGTGATTACTTGGTTAACAAACTAACTAGTTAACTGGATAGACCAGGCTTCAGAATCTGACTCTTGGGCCTCAGAATCAGGACGTGGCCTATAGGCTGGCTTCAGATAATGGCTTCATCTGTGCTAGGCCATGTGTTGCTATTGGGAACACAGCAATAGTTATGAGACAGGATATAGCTAGAAAAAGTCTAGGCAGACAAACAGGCCGGTCCTCTGGTAACAACGTGGTGAATTCCCTGCAGGCTCTCAGGCTCAGCATTGGTAAACAAGCTCCCTGTGAGCCTCTCAAGCTAGAGCTTAGGTTCTCACTACTGGGATCAAAAAACAACCAATCAGCTCACCATTAGGTCCCTACCTCCTGCTGATTGGTCCTTAATACTGACCAATCAGAACAGCAACAGCTCTAGCCAATCAGCTTGGACTTAGGGCTATAAAAGCACCAAGTTTCAACCCCAGAGAAGGACAACCCCTTCGGGTCCCCTCCTGCGTGGGATCTTCTCTGTCATCTCAATAAATCTTGCTTTCTCACTTCCTGCTATCTGTGTCCCTCATTCTTCCTGGGCATAGACAAGAACCTTGATCCTGAAGAGCTGCAACCTGAAGAGTTGCAGAAGATGGTTGGAGCTGAAGAGCCATACACCCCAGAGACTGTCTTGCCAGCTGATGGAGCCGGCTCAACCAGGAGAGCTGCCAGGAGATGGCAAGACTCTGAAGCTGAGACACCCAGGAGGCTAGCAACACTCTCAGGACTTGGCTTGCCAGCCCGTTAGAGCCAACACCCCAGAGGTTGTGTTTGCCAGCCCACCGGATGGCAACACTCTCAGGGCTTGGCCTTCCAGCCCATTAAAGCTGACACTTCTGGAGCTAGACTTACCAGTCCAGGGGTCCTCAAACTATGGCCCGCGGGCCATGTGCGGCCCGCCGAGGACATTTATCCGGCCCACCGAGTGTTTTTGCTGCCTTAACTTGTTATGACTAGCAGTGACAAATATAGAACTGGACATTGACCATCTCATTAGCCAACAGCAGGCCCATAGTTCCCATTGAAATACTGGTAAGTTTGTTGATTTAACTTTACTTGTTCATTTTAAATATTGTATTTGTTCCCATTTTGTTTTTTCACTTCAAAATAAGATATGTGCAGTGTGCATAGGAATTTGTTCATAGTTTTTTTTTTTTAACTGTAGTCCGCCCCTCCAACGGTCTGAAGGACAGTGAGCTGGCCCCCTGTTTTAACAGTTTGAGGACCCCTGTACCAGCCCCTCGACGACCCGCTTTGGGGTTTGGCTGTCCCATTGAGCTGACACTCTTGAAGCCCAAGCTGACCTGAAAAATCTCCATCAGTTTGTGCAGTCCCTTCACTCCCTGAATTGAGAGTCTATAGCGCAGATGGGAGCTGATCGTGACAGTACTCAGCAGTACACACACAGTCAGATGGGCATGACTTCAGGCCTCGTGGCACCTGGGGACCTGTTTGTTGTGAACCCAGCGTCTGCTCAATAGCCAGCTCTGATGCAGGGACTGGCTCGGACACCTCTTCAGACAAATTGGCTACAAAAAGGCATTTCTGGTTCATGTAGGGAAATCTAAACATGGACTGGGTATTAAGTGATATCAAAGAATTATTCATGTGTTAGTTTATTCACTATCACAATAACGGTATCGTGTTTGTGTGGTTATTGAAGAAAATGTCTTTGGTTTTAGAAATGCAGATGCAATTATGTAGATGTGACATGACACCCAGGATATACTTTACATCAGCAAATATGAGACGATCAAAACAGACCAGCATATGGAGGTATGGATGGAACAAAATTGGCCATAAGGTGTGGGGTGTGGGGTGTGGGGGACACTTAACATGGGGATGCAGTACATGGTCTTCTCTCACTTGATAGGTTTCAACGTCTCACAATAAAAACTTTCTAAAAATACTTCAGCAAACCCCAAACCATGCAATGGAAGTATCAGTACCATACCTCTTTGAAAAGCTGCCCCTATGCAGCCCCAGGAAACTCAGGTAACAGCTCTGCAAAACGCAGTGGATTCTGTCGTACCATGACCACTCTTCACAAGAATCATCTCCCAGCATCTGTTACTAAAGTGACCAGAGTCAGTTTTGTCATGTTACCCTCTTGAAGAGTGACTTAAGATGGGCCTGAGTTCATGAACACCTAAGTGTTGAGGGAAAATAATGTTGGAAAGCCCTCATTTAATTAGGAGAACAAAAACTTATTTTTAAAATTAAAATTACAGCTCAAATTGAAATGCCATTAAATGTTTCTAATCTCTCATCACCTTGGTATGCCTCTTCCTTTCAAACATAACAACATATTTGGTCTTTTCCTGCTATCTTATGTTCAAAAAATAGATTCTACTACTTAGTAAAAAGGCAGAGTATGTAATTTGAAAAGCTCCCAGTGTAGCATGTCAGCTTAACGTTTGGCTAAGAAAAAAATAATTAATTTACATGTTATTTTAAAGGAAAAATACAGTCAAATGGCTAAAAATATTTCAGTAGTTGGTACCTGGGTGTCTTAGAAACCATCAAAGGAAGAGGCAAAGGTTGAAACCACTCACAGCTTCAGAGCATGAGCCTCAGCCTGGCATCATGGCATCCTCCCGAGCTGCACTCACCACCCTGGGAGCACCTTGGAACTCCAAGATGGAACTAGAGAAAGCAAGTAGCAAGCAGAGTTTGATGTGGCATCCAAACAGATGAGCTCCCTCCCGCCTCACTCTGGCATCCAGAGGAGGTGG